AACACACAGAAAAGATAAAGATAATATACATAGACAATAGATAGACATATAGACATAGATAATATAATAGACAATAAAGATAGCTGGTATTCTGAATATAAATGGTATTGTAACATTCTAAAAAATAAATACACATTGCTTAAAATCATAAAACAAATATTACAATGATAAGTAGATTACAAACAAACGTTGAAAAGCACAATGAAGTTGAAAATGGTGCTTAGTGTTGCTATACATATTTAAACGAGTCAGAATTAACAATGAAATATCAACTTTTGCCTCAGAAATGTACGCGATACGTATCCGGCTGGGCAACTACAACAGCTCGCAACAGCCTATTGCCGTATGCTAGTCGCACTCAGTAATGAGTGCCTGGCCCAGAGAAGCCTCGATCTCTGGAACACATTACTGTCTATATTTTAAAAATATTCTATGCAAATCTCTCACGTGCACCTGGAGTTCTTCGCGCACTCCCTGGACGTTTATTCCTTACGGACTGTCCAGTATAGAAGTAGAAGTAGAAGTAGAAGATATTTCGGGAGCACAGATACGGCTCTCAGACTGGCTAAATGACGCTGACATTTTAATTCTCCAGCTACTAATTTCACATGTAGTAGATACACAGATGCTGAGGCCCAAGGATAGAGAACATGGGTCCCAATAAAACCAATGTGCCTAACCCTAACCCGAACCCTAATCCTAACCCTAACGGCCCAAGGATAGAGAACATGGGTCCCAATAAAACCAATGTGCCTAACCCTAACCCGAACCCTAATCCTAACCCTAACCATAACCCTAACCTATTATATTGATATAATATTATATTGATATTGATGTAAATGACATTGGTTTTATTGGGACCCATGTTCTCTATCCTTGAACCGATGCTGACATGATCTTATTTATATAGTGTAGCTGTTCAGTACTACCCCCAGCAACCTGGTTTTATCAACTGCGTATAGTGTGGTTTGAACCAATGTCAATGGTGTGGAAAGTGTGAATTACTTTATTTATGGACATATGTCGAACACTCCCTTCGCTGAGTGTCATCCCTCTTTCCATCGACCATGATACAGATCGACTTATCGATTATTTGTTGGCATGATAAAGCTGATCGAAATTTGGTATCATATTCTGTATTTGACACAATGTTTGCATTAATTTATGACAATAGATTCATTTAACAGTTACAATATTAATAGCCTTATATAGATCTGAGAAGATGCTATCCATTAATATCTGATAGATGATATTCACCACTGACATATATAGTTTGAAGACATCGTATGAAATCCCTGCTATGTCATAGCCGTGACTTAGATGCATCATGCAATAACTATTCACTTTGAAGTATAAGCTGCGTTCACACGTATACACGGCTTAGCTGGTACCGTACTTAGTTGGTGCTAAGTCCGGTTAAAATGCGTTCACACGAGATTCGAGGCTTAGCTAGCGCGGTATAATATAGACTGGTACCCGGTCGACAGTTCCACACGCTACCCTAACGTCGTGCAGCGAACAGGTAGCAGTCTAGGTTCACACGACAATCAATACGCGGCCAGCGTGGTGCCGAATATACGCGGCTTAGTTGGCGCGGAATATGATTCCGCGCTAAGCAAGCCGGAGCAATCGCGGCTAAGCAAGCCGTGGCTAAGCAAGCCGCGTATATTTTAGCGTGTGAACGCAACTAAACTCCTCGTGTGAACGCAGCAATAGTCCCTCCTAAACTTGTGCAAAATCACTTTCACTTCAGTTTAATATCAATCTTGTGGACTGTAGAAGGTATCATCTATAAGGTAGTGGGTTGTTAGAGGAGGTGGCTTTCCATCATCCAGCTGCTGTTTAAAAAAAATGCTATCCAGTTATGCTGCTAATATTGTCATGAAATTCTCTGTTTGTCAGTTTGCTCATTGTGTCAGTGCAGTTTTAAGCCTGGGACACACCATGCAAATTTATTCGCACGTCCGCGGCGATCATATCCACAGCGAAAATCGCAGCGAAAATATTCGCACCCGCATGCGATAATTGAGCATCCGGACACACCATGCGAATTTATTTGCACGTCCGCAGCGTACACACTACACGCGATCTACTGGCTCCACACGGCTCCACCATGGCTCCAACAGTCATGTGGTCACGTGATTAGCATACTGATCAATGATTCGCTGCATTATAACAATCGGCCATTATTCACACTAGACTGGTACCCGTCCCTTCTCACCAGCTCGATATAGGCCTATATCGAGCTTGTGAGAAAGGACGGGTACCAGTCTATATTCGCACGTCCGCAGCGAAAATATATATCAAACATGTTTGATCGCTGCGAATTTCGGTGCGGATGAAATTCGCAGCGAAATTCACCCGCGCTTGAGCAGACACACCATGCGAATTTCGCTGCGATTTTACAATCACTGCGGATGTGCGAATAAATTTGCATGGTGTGTCCCCCGCTTTACAGTCCAGTTGGTTGAAATTACCACCAAGTACTATGAAAGCAGTGGACTTTCACACTTGCTACAGACAGCAGCAGGCAGCTACGAAGTCCCAGACACAGATGTCAAAATTGAACAACCTGTGCCACTTAGACGGTTGATCCTTCATCTTCATCTAAAACCAGTACACCATATATAATAATAATTGCGTTATTACCGAATATTATTGGTCCCACACTGTGGGTGCAACGCATTACGTCAAGAATCAAGTCTTCTGTGTCTAACTAGGAGAAGTATCCGCAAGAGTTGACAGCTACTTAGCGAGGCAACGCACCCTGAGTGTGTCTGTGGTGTATTAGCCGGCAGGCCGTACAGCCGTTATCTGGACGGTCAGTTTTTAAACTAAACGGCCAAAGAAATAAAACAAGTGCTGCGGAGCGACAGCGCTCATCTAACGTCTACTGCGGTGACTCTGTGGTGGAGTGGTGGGATTCTAGTAAACCCTGTTAGTCCCAAATGTGTTCACATAAGCGCCGAAACAGTGGAAGGCACAGGGATGGTATCAGGAACCTTCTCAAAGGAATGTCCGTTGGGATCGTTATGAAAGTTGCGACGAGATGGTGCGTACGTTTAAGTGTCTTAAGATTAAAGATGGAAGCTCCTATCATATGTAGTAGCAACAACTATTTGCAAGACAGAATAGGTAAGCACTCATCCATTTACCTACGCAAGCCAACAGGCTGAAATAGAGAGCTGCCACCTGTAACTAATTAACACAGGCAAAAACTACACAGTACTATCACTACCACATGCACTGGCAGTGTTAATGCAGTGGCATAAGTTACATGTAACACACTGACTGTACAGAATGCCATAGAATATGACGACTTAAGGACCATAAAACCTTCTTCAACAATAATTTAGCTTTTGAAATTTTCACTGTGACATTGTAGCGCTCATACATCCAGGCATGTATAGGATCTCACCTAGCAAAACCCGAACGAGTCAAATTCTTTCAACAGTAAACAAAATCCATCCCTCCTCTTGAGGGTCAAAAGTTATCCGACACTTACCTCGCATGTTCATCAGAAAGACATTTCATCGTCCCTTTCCAAATAAAAGCCACCTAAAATGCTAGTCACCGCTGAAACAAAAAAGTTTTCAATCGCTCCGTCAGACCAGTCTCAGGAGAAAATGTCTAAAATCTGCCCTGTCGCCCCACTGACCTTTGACCTGTAACCTCCAATTCGGCACAGTGATGGCTTTCCTACCATGATCGCTATATCACGCGACTATCAACTAGCCTAGTCGAGCCGTTTTAGATTTTGCCAGCAATCTGCACTTTGCCTCCTAACCTATAAGTTAAAGAAGCGAATTGTCCCCTTCTTTTTTACGCCTCTTGACCTTTGACCCCAAGCTTTGACATTCCAACATGTTATTTCGGATTAACCCCCAACCCCCCCCCCCCCCCCCCACCCCCCCCCCCCCCACGTCCCGAATATCGCATGACCGTAACGTCGAGCCGG